CCCCAAAACCCCAAAACCCCAAAACCCCAAAACCCCTTTGCTCTTGTATATAGTTGAATATGGAAAGATAACAATTTTCTTCTCTAAGAATTTTAAGCTTTCCTCAAGCAAGGCGCGTAGATCCTATTATCGAGAAGAAACTGCTCTACTGGAGTGATTCCAGGGCAGTTTGTGTTTACTTACAAGAAGTATGGGACTACGTTCCTGTAAGGTACTGATTTAGAGCTATCAGTAACAGCGTAGAAGATCTCGTACTTGTTTTCAAGATTTTCATCGACCTGAAGAATACTAGCGACGTTTCCACATCTGTAGCAGTAATTAGGAGCTGACCAGACCGTTACCAAGTTTTGATCCTTGAACCAAATCTTGTATCCGTCCTGGACTAACTGATGTGCTCTACAGATCAGGCTGAGGTCGTTGATTCTGTTGAACTCTTTGGTGACTTTGGACCCGAAGAGCCATCCGGCTCCTCTTGGACTCATTGCCCAAGTGTCGATGTCTTCAGGGTCACTCCACATGAGATCGCAGAAAGGTCCCTCATGAGGAATCTCTTTGCATCTCTGAATGACTCTGATCTGGTCGATGGTCTTGACATCTGGGGAGAGTCCTCCATGGATGCAGAGCAGCTTACCCTCAACTAGAGCAGCGATGCCAAGGTAATCGAACACATCAGTGCAATATTTCCATGGATTGGCATTTCCATATTTTCTTAGGATCTCATCGTAGAATCCGTAGACGCTCGTTACTTGTCTGGATTCGTGATTTCCTCTTAAGAGTGTTATGTTGGCTGGATATTTTAACTTGAGAGCGAGGAGCAATTCGAAAGTTTCAACTGAGTTGTACCCTCTATCAACGAAATCTCCCATGAAAATGTAGGAGGTGTCAGGAATATCACCACCCTTGCTGAACAACTCCAAAAGGTCGTAGAACTGTCCATGGATGTCTCCACAGATAGTCACTGGAGCGCTGACTGGTTGGACATTGTTCTCCTCAATCAGGATTTCCTTAACCTTCTCACAGAGGACTCTCAAGTCTTTCTCGGGGAGTCATTTTCCTCCCTTGATTGTTTCAAGCCATTCGTCAGGTTTACAAGACATTTTTAGCTGTGAATTTAAAAATTATTAGGAAATTTCTATTATTTTTGTTCAAAAAGGGGTTTTGGGGTTTTGGGGTTTTGGGGTTTTGGGG